AAATGGTTTTCAGCAATTCTCTCAAAAATGTCCCATCGTAACTGGTATCCTCTCAGCACACACACACACCCAACAGAGGTCCCAAGATGTTTTTCATTTTGTGACGCCCCAATGATGAAGCGCTCTGGCTTCACAAGTCAGTACGCAAAAAGAAAACAATCTGTGAAGACTTTGAGAAATTCAAAACATCTAAAATAGAAATTATGATTACTGCAAATTACATGGAAAAAATTGAGAGCAAGTACCCACACGCATAATGATAAAAATATGTTTTAAGAAGAGTTGTCATTGTCCTGAAGACCAGTGACTCTCATTGTTTCTCTCCACCTACTCTGTCCCAGGTTCAGTGGTTGGTTTGAGGTTTTGAGAAGCATGCGTCTCAGCAGCTGCAGTGGTTATTGACACAACTGTGTTGTCTCATCACCACTGTAGAATTTAAGACCGGATTTTCCTCTCCAACATCACCAGATCGTTCAGCTTTCTACAGTGGTATTGTGGGGCTCCGCTTACTTATTTTGTTATGATCAACTCATGCAGGCCATTGTGTTCAAATGTTTACCTTGTCTGGCCTTCATCTTCATAAAGCCTCTGGCGCTGCCTCCCTGCCTTTTGCTTTGAGTCTTAAATCAGTTTGCTTTGGATTGGATTTTAAAGTAGACATGCATATCAAAAGACAGCTGCGAGCATTTTATTGATATCATTTCACAATTATTCATACTTTTGGAAATAATTTCTCTATTTTGGGCATATATTGTAGTTTTGTATTTATAGTGTATTATGGTTTTATGTAATTGCATTTTCTCAATGTAATTCAAATCTAGCAGTAACTATAAACTCCATGTGCAGCACATCAGTTTCATGCTCTGTATTAGAACTGTGTTAAACTCCAATAGTTTGTAAATCCTGCAACTTCTCCTTTTGTGCTTTTGTCCTCTACTTGTCCACTTTCCTACTTTTTTTTAAAAGATACAGTTCACAGCATGGCAGGAAGTGCTTTTCAGTTAATAGTTCTTTGAGAATTGATCTCTGATGCAAAAATACTATCTTCTGCCCATCGAACTATGTTTTCTTTTGCATTTTTTTTGTATAAACAAATGATGTTTTTCTTTTTGACAGGCTGCTGGTAACAAAGCATCTAAAGATAATGTTACATCTCTAACTTGTTCGTTATGTGTAGACGCAAAACCGATTCATTCCTTAAGTTGAATGCATTCTTTTTATTATTGAATGATTCATAGGTTGGTTGTGGCTTAAAAACAAAAACATGAAAAAAATCCCCTGAGAATCAGGTACAAGGACTGGACTGAAAAAAATGCCTGTAAAATATTGCTAAAGACCAAAATTACACTTTCAGTGCTATGCAAAGTGCAAGTAATATTTTTTTCATTTTTTGTAAATGACGACTGTTGGGTGTGCTGGTCCTCTCCGTATCCTAGTGATAGTCCTAGAGGTTTACACATGAAACGTCATAAATGTCGTAGGTAAATTATTGGCATCTTTTCCACATTACGTACGTAGTGAAGAAGTCAGAGAACTGTGATGCATCTTATCTGGACCTATTAGAGCAGTAGTACCACCAGGTGGTATACTGCATCCACTGCAGCATAAATTGCACAATAGAGGGATTTTTGTTCATACCAAAAAAATGCATTAGTTATCAGTTATTATCAGTTATTTATTTATGTCATATATGTTTATATACGTCATTAAATGTATTTTTATTGCATTTTAAGATTAGTATCATATATTTGAAACATGAGCTCAATGTAAGTGCTCGTTTTACAGAAAAATGAGCATTTATTATTATTACCTAGCATTTTAAATCATTGAGTTGGTTAGGAGGAAACTAATCTTAACAACATCTGTTCATTTTGGAGTCAATTACAACAGCCTATAATAGCTATAATATATTATGGTGTGTTTGCACCCAAAGTGATCATGTACAAGTAAAGGTAATAGTTTTTGCAATTAACTTTAATGGGAAATCCAATATTTTACAGGAACAGCCTATGATTAAAGAAATAACAATTATAAACACTGTAGTAAATGCAATGCTTTTATGAGCCGCATGACGTTTTTATTTTGAAAAAGCTGACCGGAAAGAAACTGCTATTCTTGGTAGGTACGTAATGCTCTTGACGTAATGCGTAATGCTGCCACTGACTGCATCTTTCTCCCAAACCAAAGACTACCAAAGAAGCTGATTTTACTCGGCTTACAATAAGTCTCTAGTCCTGTATTTGTTCATTTTTAAGTGATGTAGAATGGCGTCTGGCTTTGGGAAGATAGTCGTTGGTACCTATGTGGAGATAAAACGCAGCGATGGTAAGTTTCACCCTGTCTATTTATTTTTCCCGTCGCGATGTGTAAGTTGTTTGGGGATCTTTGTTGCTCCGCTGCTGTTGAATATAGCAACCGTTGTTTCTGGCTGCAGAGCGTAACGCTAGCTGCAGATTCATATTAGTTGTCAGGGCGGAGAGTTTCAGCACGGCCTAAGCCTTTGAATGGGCGCCTTACCTTTGTTAGCATGCCCATTCAGAAGATATTTCCCGATACCTCTAGATTCTTATCATTAGATAACAGCAAATGTCTTTGATTGGAATTTATCAAGCATACAAACATATTAACTCTAGCGCCACCTAGTCTCTTAAATTATTTATTATAACAGGGAATTCAAAATTATAATTAGCCAAGCTAGCGGGATTGCTAACCCGGTTAGCTTAGCTAACTAACGTAGACGGCAAGATTAGCGTTAGCTTATGGCTAGCCAAAGGCTGTGTGCTGTTTCCCGGCTTCACACAGCAGTGGCTCTGCAGTAAAATCGGTTTCGTTAACATGCACTTTGGTTTTTGGTTATATTTTATCCCCGATTTCTTTCATTGTTAGCTTATTAAATGCTCTGTCAATAAACCGAACCGCTAGTTGTTATGGAAACCCTTTTGAGGTCTAAAATCCTGTATTAATATTGTCTTTTATCACGGTCATTTGCCATAAAAATACATTTGTAATAAGAGCATATACGTAAGCCATTTTTTATAATTCTTTCCTTTATTTCCCCTATTACTCTTGGTATTGCATGGGTCATAAAAGATGATAGTGTTTTATTTAATAGAGGCAATGCCAAGGATATATAATTGTAGATAGTGTAACCTTAAATATGAGGCACCTACTGATGCCCTCGGTTTTCTGTAGTGGTACTACAAATGTAGCCATAATAGCTTACAAAAAAAGGGGGGTTAAACTGCATTCACATGAGCTGAAGTTGTTTCTGAAGGCTAGCAGATGAGTAGACCGAGAAAAGGGAGAGGCTGGTTGTTGTATGACTCTCCTTTCTGTGAATGCCAGCTTTATTCTTGCTGCTCTGTGTAGTTGTTCGGCATTGCTTCAGGGCTATAGAGCCAAAGATGACACAGAAGTTTGTGTCATTCCTGCTGGTCCTTTTGGGACTTTGCTACACCCAGTGAAATTGTTTTGCAACAAACCCTCAAACAGCACCAATCTTGTACACAAAGCACACGGGAATAAGCTTGAAAGCTAGTGCCAGAGGTGTGCTGCAGCCACTGGTGCTGGTTAGCATCATTGGTAATGTCCCTAAATCCATAATCTCTGTCCTAAGATCAAGAGTGAGATGTGAACTAGATGCACAGCAGGGCTGCAGAAAGAACCAGTTCTGTCTATCTGGTGTTGTATCCAGAGCAGGGATTGCCCTCTCCCTCTCTCTCTGGGGACTGGTTCAGATTCAAGCCGGATTCATGCTATTAGCCACCACCCCATCT